CACTCTCACTCGTTTTGGGGGCTAGAGGCAATTTTCCCTATTATTTATACTCATAATTTTTAAAATGACATTTAGATACTGGTCCCTTTTATCTTTCATATTTTTAAATTATTCTTTCAAACATTGAAACTGTTATTTAGTTTTTCAATTCATTAAGTTATCCTAAATGAATCTCTATGTTAGTTTTTTCGGTCAAATTTCTCAACTCTAGTTCCATTAGTGAGTAAACATAATAGATTATCATTCTTTTCTCGATTCAATCATTCCGGCTAAATTTACAAAATTTCTTCTTCCTTATGGAAAATAAGTTAGGTGGAAGAAGACCATTTAAACAGGTTTCAATTTGAATGTAAACTCAAAGAAAATAATATAACCAGAATAATACATATCCTCTCCAATTAAGTGGTTAATTGAGAGGGTTCAATTTTCTCAATCATTTATCGTTTATTTCTATTTATAGGAAAGATATTATGCCAGGTAGGATTTTCACTATTGTAAGAGTAGTTTTCAAAATAGTTGGTTTTCATTACAATGGTTGCAATAGTGAAAATCCTACATAGCGTAATCTCTTCCCTTTAAGTAAAAATGAACGATCAGGATTAATGAGAGAATTAGATCCTCTTAAATTACAGTCTAATTAGAGAGGATCCGAATCCTAATCAGAAACTTAAATTAGAAATATAATATTTTCCATCCAATCCGCATTGCAATTTAGCATGAACTAATATGGAGTAACTTATACAAATTGAGAGAGTAAACTATAGTTTCGATTATTTGCAAGGATAAATTTAAAAATATGAAAGATATAAGGAACTAATTTATAAAAAGCCTTACATAAAATAAACAGTAGCTATAATTATAAGTACTAATGCTTATTTCCTCACAGCTCCACTAATTATTAAAAGGAAGCATTTTTTTTATAACTGTAATTGTAGAAAGATGGGAGTTCCGTAAGGGGCTGTTTGGTTCGTTTCCTTGATATAGAGAAATGCAATTCCATGTAAAAAAACACAAGTTTTGAGTTTTTTAAACTTTTCTAAGAAATAGATTGTTTTACTTTGGTTCGCATATAAAAAATGGTGGGAAACCAATGTATTTATTTTTCTTGTGTTTGGTTCGCATAGAAAAAAAAGGAAAACTTTCGTAAACAAAGCAGAGAAGGAAAAAAATCTGACGTGGCAGAGTTTTCATCAATTTTACTTGGTTGGGGAAGGAAATCGGAGAGGGAAAAAAATCTTAGTTGGCGGCGATTTTAGCAAAGTTTTCCCTCTTCCATTCGAGCGAACCAAAGCGGCACAAAGAAATGGACGGAAACAAAAAAGCTGACGTGGAGGGCTAAAAATCTGACGTGGAGGGGTTTTCTGAGTTTTTTACCCCTTATAATAGCGAACCAAACAGCCCCTAAAAGCAAACATTTACGGTTATTATTAATTTTAACAAAACACAGTTCCATTCTGTTTTACCAATACAAACCATATTTTTTGCTTCTAATACTAGCTTACGTCATCCAACCAAAATAGCAGTCAACTTTTTATATTTTAACATTTTTTACGTCAAAAAATAGGGAAGGTGGAGTCATCCAAAGGACGAAGTTCATGGGGGCGACGAAATTTAATTCACAAAAAAATCACAAGGGAATTTGAACGGTCTGCTTGTATAAGACAAAATTAAAACTTTAGGCTAACGTTAATCTAATCACAAATGATTATCTCCCAATTAAAATATTTATAAAAAAAAAAACTATATATACATTCTTTAGTCTCTTTGGAATTTCTTTTTGTTGGATCAATACCAATAGACAGGATAAGGGTCTCTTAAAAGACGAATTACGAGTTCATGCTGTAACGTAATTTGAGTAACAAAAGAATATTAAAGCAATCAGAGCTGTTTGCTTGCGTAAGACAAATTAACATTTAGATTAACTCTAATTAATCTAATTACACATGATTAGCTCCAAGTTATAAATATCCACTTTGGGGTTGTTTGGTTCAATTTCTACAAATTATAGGAAATGTTTTCCATCTAAAATATGGTTTGCTTGTATTTTTTAAAAAAATATAGGAAAAGTTTTGAGAAGTCAAAAAGTACAAAATTTCTTGTTTTTTTTACTTTGCTTGTTTGGTTCAAAACAAGAAAATGGCCCATAACATTATAGAAAATAATAAGATTTCCTATAATTTGTAGAAATTGAATCAAACACCCCTAAATTTATAGAAAAGTGTCAACTTTATAGAAACGTGTCAATGTGGTGTCAGTTTTTTGAGTGATTTTCGTCCATTTTGAGAGGAAATTAATTTCTATAAATTTTGGTATTTTTTTGTATTTTACAGAAAATATTTCTGTAATTTTTTTTGAACCAAACACAGTTTACGAAAATCTATAGAAAATTTTTAATTACAGAATTATCATTGTCTGACATTTTGAGAAAACTTTTCTATAAAATTGTGCAACCAGACACCCCTTTATGTAAAAGACAAATAAAATCGTAGATTACGTGTATAAGCAACTATTACAATTCTTTACACCTCCTTTAGTTAAGCTAATCACGTGATTAGCTCCCCCCAATTATTCCCGCCGAATATTCTCTCGCACGCCCCCTCGTCGTCCATAAACTTTACATAAAAGCCCCGGGAAAGCAATAGTACTGTGAAGCCAGGTCACAAGCGAGAAGAAGAATAGTAGAGCAAGAAACAAAGAGATCGGAGCCCAGAACCCATCAATGACGGCTACCCCTTGTAAGATTTGTCCGTTTCAATCTCCCAATTTCTTGTTATTTGCATGATAAAGATTCAAACTTTATTGATTGGTTATGATCCTAGGGTTTGTTCCTTTGCTGTTTCTTCTTGTTCTGTCATCGACTGGGGAGACCATCGGGAGGCCATTCTACCCTTTGCCCAGCAAGCTTGATCTCAAGGACAAGCAGCCTCTGCAGATGTCTAGGCCTTTCAACATCGCTCACAGGGGATCCAATGGGGAGCTCCCCGAGGAGACGGCGGCTGCTTATATGAGAGCCATCGAAGAGGGGGCCGATTTCATCGAGACCGACATCCTTGCGAGCAAAGACGGGAAGCTGGTTTGCTTTCATGACGTTACTCTTGATGATACTACTGATGTTGGTGAGCGTAAGGAGTTTGAGGGTAGGGAGAGGACTTATGAGGTTCAAGGGGAGAATGTCACCGGTTTTTTCGTGGGTATGTCTAGTTCATGTTCTATATATGATGATATATCTGATGTGTGTGTGTGTTTTGATAAAACTTCGTATTGTCAAGATTCACTAATGTAGTGACACTAACTGAACAAAACAAGCAAAATTGAGTATCACTGTCCGTTGCAAAGTTCGATAAAGGGATATGGATTAGCATAACTATTTGGATCATAACATTTTGGGTAATCTGTTTTCCCGACGTGGGAATAAATCTCATATCGTGTCTTTGGTAGACCAGACCCACGCGTTAAGCTGAATGGATGTGGGACGCTCCATACAAATGTGCACCTTGGCTCGGACCTAATCGAGTTCAACTTATGGCTGATGGAGATAGTGTCTCAAATTAGTACTTAGTAGATGAATGAAGTCACACTTGAGGCAAGCGGGACAACATGTGCACCCTAGGTAACCAAAACTCTTCTATGTCACACAACAGCCATATGTAGCATCACGTGCCATTCTAATAATGTATTGAAGCAATTAGAGCATCTAAAGGCCCACCGAAGCCGTGAGCTCTTATACCATTTTATTGGGGATGCAAAGGCCTATGGACGGATACGAAGTAGGCTAGTCTACTTATACAAATTGACTCAAAATGATTATTCTTTAACTGAGTCTTGAGCCCAAACATATTAAACACATGCATCTAGCTATTCTTCCCATACGGGACTAAATCCCGTTTCATGCCTTTGCTAGACCAAACCCACACATTGATTGAATGGATGCGAGAGTCGAGACACTTCTAACAATCAATAGAACATGTTGGAAATTATAACTAACTATTGCTAATGTAATATGGTAAATATTATCCGCTTTAAGATGTTAGATTGAATACATTGTTTGCATATGTGGATATGAGTATTGTGTTCTGACATAGACACAGGTAGTGAACACGACTACACGGGTAACCTCCAAACTCCAGATATGATGATAGAACATACATGCATTATCTGAATATGTGTATATTCAACTTTATACATATACATATAGATACGTATGTGTGTGAATGCATGTGCACATGCATGCGCATGCATGTGCACATGCATGCGCATGCATGTGTTATGTAGAGGTATAGTCTCTTTGCATTAGGCAAGAGATGGGAGTTCAAATCCCACTTGCACTACTCTGTGGTATCTCCTCCAAAAGAAGCAAAAAGCACTTAGTTGTTCACGCATAGGAGGACAGCATAAAGTAAAATTAATGAATCTATAAAAACCCCCAAGGCCTAACTTAGTTTGTATATGAGGTAGGAGAGGGTTGTCAGAAGTCCACCTTCAAGCCCATGTTACAACCTTTGATCAGGGGAAAGAAAAGAAGAAAGGTTGTAAATTAACTAGCTTTTGAAGGCGGGATAACATGCTTTTATCTTGTAACAGTTTTGTGATGAATAAAGGTTGCACATTTATGAGTAACATGCCATATAATGTGCTATTATCTTTTTATCACTACTTAGTGACTGTATGCTGCAGAAGTTCTTGTAGGTGTGCCCTCCTGCACACCTATATTAACCCTCCTCTGATGCAGCATGAAGGTATTAGATATCTTATTTATAACTTTAAACCAATCCAATATGAACCCCTAAAGGTACCATCTGTTACATTGCATTGTAAAAGGAAGTAAGAATATTTAACTGCAGCTTTCTTTATGGTGCATTAGATGATTTTTCTCTTTTTTTTGTAGTGGATTTCACACTTGCCGAACTTAAATCACTAAGGGTGAAGCAGAGGTACAAGTTTCGAGATCAGCAGTATAACGGTTAGTTGCATCTCTAATAAAATTTACTACTGGACATTTTCTTGTAGCCATGTCTTCCAAATGCTAATCATAGTTTACAATCTAGTTAGTCTTGTGTTGTCTCTTTGAACGCCTTGGACCTTATTGGTTTTTGTCTATTTCTGATGTGTGTATTACCATAAAATGGATGTGATAAATTATTCACAGTGGACATGTCATTTATCAGAAACTTATGTTCCTTGCTTGAGGCTATATTTGGTTAGCAAATACTGCAAAATTTCTGGAATTAACTTGCACAACAGTCAAATGTTGTAGAATTTCAGTCCACTCTGGCTTAAGCAGGTCTACGTTTTGCCCAAATGGATCTCATTACTCGTAAGTCAATTAGACCAGAGTTAGTATTCGTTAGGAAAGAACTCGATTGGTTTACGTTGCACACTTTTATTCAACTTCCAAATGTGTCTTCATGGCTTAATTCTGGTTCGACTTACAATTAAAAAAGATGGGGTTGGCAATTGACTCCTCAGTTTCTGTTAGCACTGAAGTTGGGCATGTGTAACTATGAAGTGTATACACTCAGTTGCTGATATTCTGTTTGATGGCCTGTAAGTATAGCGTCTGCAATTAGTTCTTCTTGCCTCTTTTCGAGCAGAAGTTTATGAGGCTCGGGATCACAAGTTGTTAAAGCAGTTTCATTTATTTCAATATGTAAAGCACATCTTGATATAACTGGGTGGATGTGACAAAAAGCTTTGAAAATAAACAATGGTGGATAGAATATAACTTGGGAGACATTTTCCCAGCAGCAACAGAAAGAACATCCTCTTAATTTTTTGTCTTTAACCGACTTGTTTGTTATTACCCTCTAAACAGAACATTCTTTAAGCAGAACATTGGCAGGAACTTTATAGCTATAATAGACAGGAACTTTATAGCTATAACTAATTATTCTTATTCATGCATTCCCTGCAGGGAAGTTCTCAATTATAACATTTGAAGAGTTTATTGCAATTGCACTAGATGCTGACAGAGTTGTGGGGATATACCCAGAGATTAAGAACCCAATTTTGATCAATCAACATGTAAGTGATTATCAATTAAGAGAAACTATTGCGAACTGTTAGTGATGAAAGGTTGATTCCTTAAAAATGATGATTACTCATGTGCCTTTTTTTTAGTTGTGTTTTCTCGAGTAATAATATTGAGGCTCTCTTTGGGTGTTTGTTACACAGCCACGTTTGATTTCTTTTCCTGTATACCTTCTAAAAATAACATTTTATTCATTTAGCCCTCAATAACTTCTAATTGTGTATATGCCCTCTGAGATATATTAAATTTAAAGATGTACCCATGACATTAGTATCCATGCATATCTTAGTAAATCTGGATGAATACTAACTTATTATTAACTTCATTACTTACATAGTAGATGGCGAAAGCAAGGACTTGAAATTTGAAGACCTATATACAGGATAAGTGCATAACATTTAGAACTTTGATTACTTTAAGGAGTGCTCAACGATTATACAACATTGAGTGAATTCGATCTAAACTATGATAAGAATAAGCCTTAGGAATCGTAGAAAACATTCTAACTAGTATATTCATGCTCTTATTCTACCAGAAAATTGAATTCTTAAATAATTAAATCATAATTTATCATTTTTGTTTAATTATAAATAAGAGATAACCATATTTAAATAAAATTATACAAATTTACTTTTGCTTGAATGTTATACATGCATTAGAAACTATTGAGGACATGTAAGCAAAATGTTAATTTTCAAGGGTGTATGTTCAAAAAGCGCATCAAGTTTAGACTCTTAGCTTTCTGCAGAAGTCAAATGGAAAAATTTATAAACGCGTCTCCTCATTATTTAAAATGAAACTTCATTACACACAAGTTTTACCATCTCCTGTTATGTAGTTTTCATGATCTTTTTTCTTTGGGAAGAACAGGTCATAGCCTGAAACATTAAGTGATGAAAATTTGAATCCGAGGCCTCTTTTTCATGATCTTGTCCCGACAGGATATCTTCCTTGCAAATTTTATCACTTTATATTTTCCCAAATATGATATATTATTGTTATATATGAAATGCCAAGTTTTTCTCGAGTTCATTGATAAAATGGACTTATGGTGTTGTTAATAGTTAAGGCCTACATGGATATAGCTTGTTGGGCTCTTATATGCACTTTGCACGACTCTAACCATCAATGTCCTATTTGTAACAGGTCAAATGGGAAAATGGAAAGAAATTTGAGGACAAGTTTGTAGAGACGCTCTTGAAGTATGGGTACAAAGGTGCATATAAGTCAAAAGATTGGCTAAAGCAACCAGCATTTGTACAGTCCTTCGCACCAACTTCCCTTATTTATATTTCAAACTTCACGGACTTACCCAAAGTCCTCTTGATCGATGATATCACGATTCCAACTCAGGATACAAATCAGGTCTAGTACTGGAATATCATTTCATTCATATGTAGCTCTGTATTGTATTTTGTATTAGAAGAGTTATCTTGTATGGGTAACATAAATTATGGAATATATAATGTGCTCGTATGTGAAGTCTCACAGCTGAAATTTTTTACCACACTGAGAAGTTCTAAATTGTTAGAGAAGCCTATGCCAGCATATTAAGTCAAAAAAAATAACATGGGGCCCTTGAAATGTAAACGATCATTGAAAATTACTTAAGATTATTGAAAATTACTTAGATTATTTTCAATGGTTATTAGTTCTTTTAGTACTACCTATAGTGCTGTCCTCTTGTACTGACTAATGGCTTTTTTGGTGCAGTCATACTGGGAGATTACGTCGGACAGTTATTTAGCATTTATAAAAGACTACGTAGTTGGAATTGGACCCTGGAAAGACACGGTAGTTCCTCCAGAGAATAATTGTTTGACGACGCCTTCCGATCTCGTTGCAAAAGCCCATGCTCATGATTTACAGGTCTGCTATTCTTTTAAGTGTGTTTTTTGGTACTCAATAATTGCACTCAAATTTTATTCAGCTGACTCCAAATAGTTTGGATAGAAAATGTTGCTCTTGTTTTTCATGGACCATGATGAACTGCATGTGAGATTCTTATTAATGTTTATTTTTTTACGTCATGTATTCATCTTATGCTTTGTCCTATATGTCCATCCCTGAATCTACCTCTTTTGGTAGTCTAGCGTGTGAAATAGAAAAAGAAATGAAACTGTATATTATTAGTAATATATGGCCCTGAGTTTGTCTAGTGATCTGGGGAAGCATGGAATTAGTGTCTCCTATTATTAATTATCTACTTAATAATTAACAGGGGTACAAATTTGGTCGACACAACATTTATCCAATTGTCAACTTCCTAGCAGCATATTTAGTTATAAAAAAATTCAAGATGAAGCAATGTGATGATGAAATTGGATTAGGAGTGTGTATTGTACTTTCGAAATGCGCAAGTTTCGAAATGCGCAAGTTACATCTAGATAATCATTTCTTTACACGTCGCCATCCGACTTCAAAATTTTAAGCTGTGTGTGTTCCAAGTACATGCAAATTTTAAAATACGTGTGTGGTTGGATGCTGTTGTGACTTGTAACTCCAAAAAGTTGTGGCAGAAAAAAAAAAGCTTAAAATAGGAGGGTTGTGTAATTGAGCAGTGTTCCAGCAGCAGAGGTTGAAATAATATTGTAAAAAATGCAATTGTTGTTCTAACTGTTCCTAACCAAAAACACCCTAATATTCACCTGGTGACTAATGCTTATAGCATCAAAAAGCTAAATTTTTTTTAGCATTGGCATCTCAGGTACATCCATACACTTACAGGAACGAGAACCAGTTCCTACACTTGAATTTTTACCAGGATCCATATGAAGAATACGATTACTGGATCAACAAGGTCGAGGTTGACGGATTATTCACTGATTTCACCGGGAGCCTCCACAAGTATCAAGAATGGACAGCTGCAGTGAGCAAAGGTGAAAATGGTGCATCCAACTTATTGCATAAGATCTCATTCATGATCTCTTCTTTCAAGGGGGGAGTATAAATTCCCACTTGCCTGCCTTCATGACATTGGCGTATGCATCTCCGTGCAATTAGAAGATGAAAGCCTTTTGTAAAAGCCAAGAAAGCATTCAGTCAAAAGAATTTACTATTCTATGATTTACCGCCCACAATTGGTCATACTAGAAAATGTAAAGAACTTGATTATAATGTATCACAGCCATGCATAGGTTGGTTGATGAAATTATGAACGAAGCAGAATTCTTGATTTAGAATAATTCGAAAACATCGTGAAGCTGACGCTGGCTTTGAATTGAAACGAACCCAAAACGGTTAGTAATTCACGCCAATATTGATTTAGAAAGAGGGGAGGGTGAACAGAGAAGAAGAAAATTGATATGATTAAAAACAAGGATACAAATACGAAGATATACGAATATGAATATCAATGAATGTCTGGATCCGGATGCGGATATCAATGTGGATATCAATATTGACCAGATTGTTAAAACTTTTCGGCTGTGATCCCTATTTGCCCACATAGATTAATAAATTTGTCTCTGCATACCTCCTGAATTATTTCTAATCTTATGTTACCCTCCGAAACATGAAATGTATCTCTTGTTTTCCTCTTCAACTATTACCAATCTTACACCCCCTTGAAATATCACATTCTCTCTCATAAATCCATTTAAAATGCGTATAAAGTAACAAATGAAAGATGGTAACTAGACACTAAAAGTGATAGTTCAATAAGTAATGTGGAGACAAATAATTCATGGGCGTAAACATAGAGGAATTTAATAGTTTAGGTGGTAACTAGTATTAAGCCTGCACGTTGCTGCAAGTATTATTTTCCAAGGTATATCTGTCACCAAATTGATAATATGATTTTTATATATAACTATTTATAAAAACTTCAGCGATAATCTTTTTACTATTAGTTATAGAGTGAATTTCCGAACCACTTAACAAAATAATACACAAATTAGCTAGTTTTATCAATTTTTTATAATAGAGCTAGAAAAGATTTGTATTTGTGAAATATCTGGTAAAAGTTAAGTTCACTCTCACGCCGCTCGGAGGGATCTCTCTCACGCCGCCACGCCCCCGAGTCTCGCCGAGCCCAGCCCCGACTCCGTCAAGCCACCGAGTCTCGCCGCCCCCAAGTCTCGCCCCCAACCACGACGCCGCCGCCGCCACGACTCGGCCACGACACCGCCGCCCCCGATCTCAGGTTCCCTAACTCGCCGTCGATTGTTGCCTCTCTTTGAAAATTTTTAGTTAATCTATTTTGCTTTGTCCTTGTAGCTAATAAATGTGATGATCAGTCTCGGTGAGAAACTGACGGAGGAAGAGGCGGAACAAATGATTAGAGAGGCGGTTTTGGATGGCGATGGACAAGTGAATTATCAAGAGTTTGCGCAACTGATGCAAAATATATATATATATGGGGCGGGGGGAGAGAGAGAGATGTGTATGCTTGGTACCAAACACAAGTTTTTGTGCTTGGTAATGAGGTGACATATTCTACTTCACTCATTGAAATCGAGGCCCACATTCACATGGGTTGAGAAGTGGTTGAGAATTGGAATGATCCGTATGAGAATATGACACCTCACTAATTTTACTAGAGTATGAAAAATCATTACAACGCGAACTATATGGTTAGTTAAGGTTGAAAATTTTATTATAGGAGGAACAAAATTTTTAATATTATGAACCATATCATAACAAGAATAGTGTTTTTTTTTTGCTTTTAAGTCAGAAATAGTAGATATGAGACTGTAATTAGTTTTGGGTGGTGATTTGATGACCTTTAATATCTAACTCAAAGCCAAACTTTTAATGCACTGCACCTGAAACTGATTTGAAGACCTTTAATATCTAACTCAATTGTTTAGCCACTATAAGCCCTATCAAATTCTATCCACTATTTAATCGTAAAATACAAACGAGATACGATTTGTATTTATTCTGGCAAAACTGACAGGAAAAGGATATCGAGAGGAATCCGCCCGACGGCCCTATGATCAAGGGAGTGCTCCGGTGCATCCAGTGTTACCAGGGTTTTTATAAGCATGACATGTTGGATGTATTGTTCATGAAAATGCAAATTTGTCTTTGTGAATAGTCCCACATTGGAAATTGAATTGGATCGAAAGTCTTTACTTTTACTGTTTTGTGATTCCTTTTGACTTGTTCGTAACGGATGCAGAGATGACGCGAGGAGTTCCGCGGATCCTGTGTAACGTGTGCGGATTTGGAGCAACGGCTCTTTGGCCTCCATCTCCTATATATACATGGGTTCTCCTCCTCGGAAAAATCAGAGCAACAACAAGTCTTTCTCTCTTCTCCTCCATTTTTCTCTTAAAATTTCGACTACTATTATTTTCTTTTCGGACAACCATTTTCGTCTGAGCAGAAGCTCTGCTACTCTTGCCCGAGTACAGAGACCAGCCGA